GGCACTGACAGCTTGTTGGAGAATTACAATATGTTGGCATGAGTCTCTAGGTCTCATTGTTCCAGATGAGGGAGTCAGTCTTAAGAGTGTTTGGCACTGAAGGGAAAAAGGAGTGAGAGTTAGAGGGAATGAACAGGCCCTAAAGAGGCAGAATGCAGTTGTAACAATGGCTGGCACAGTTGGGGGGGCCATTCGCTGGTGGGGATTGCTATAGTCATTGATGTGAAGAAGCATATGCGAGCAAAAGAGTCAAGGGTGAATAGGGGAAAGCAAGCAAACGTATCTAAAGGGTCCATTTGTCAAAAAGGGACAAAAGTAATCCAATTAGGATCATCTTAATATGCTGATAAGGATAGCTTTCATATCTCACCAATTTATCTTATAGTATATTTCTTAACGTTTATTTTCTCTTTTAAAGTATATACATATTTGCCTTTCCCTTAAAGAGACAGATCCTTGAATTAAGACCTTGTATTATATTCCATCGGCTCTACTTCCTGCTCAGGTCATGTTTGGCAAAGCGTCTTTCTGAGCCTTAATTTTCTCATACACAGAATGGATATAATAATAATATAGACCATTGACAGAATTTTTGTTTGTATCTGATAGCATTCTGTAAATTAAATGCTATGCAAATAATAATGTTATTATTACTCATATTTATTTTAATATAAGGAACCCTAGTTTTTATTTTCACATTGACCATGATACTCCAATATTTGGGAGAAATTAATCTCTGGAGAATCTCTAAAAGTTTTTAAATTAAAACTATGATACATCTTAACATGGAAATAATGGATAATCCAGAATTTGAAAATTTGGAAATAATTATGCACACAGATATACCTTACTCATAGTATAAACTACAATTTGACATGTTTCTTGAAATAAATATTGCATTTTAGAAAACAGAATATTTAATAGATCAGTATTACTGACCTATTACTTTTTTACTCCATAGGCACTGAAGCAGCACTTACATATTAAATTTTTCAAATTGTGTAAACTTCACTTTACTTATATTCACACATTAATGAACAGGTATGTTATAAATATTGAAATTTTGCCATTTGGTCTTTTATATGTACAAGCATGAATATTCTACAGAATCTTTGTCATTTTCAGAGAAATTCAGTCATTGGTACATGTCTATCCATTGTGTTTCTTATTATGAGATCGTTTCTTGCCACTTCTTCGTGAACTATCAATGGAAACAAATTGAAACAGTTGTAACTGGTAGAATATCGGATGTGGATTTGTTTAAAGCTCTTTGTTTTACAGTAATGCAGATGAGTAGATGAAGTGGATGAAATGATGTACTTTTGGTCTCTCTGAGCTAGCCAGTGTGAAAGTCTTGTTGACAACCCAGATTGTTTGATTTGTAGCCCAACAGCCTTTCCACTATATGAATACATTTTCATTTCATCGTGTATCTCTGCCAAATGGTCAATTGTTTTTTTCTTAAATTGTCCAGAATTCTAAAGTGCAAAGTCATATTGTGGGACTACATCTTGAACATAATGAGAACTGTAAGAAATCTCGGCTTTTAATCTCACTGTGCTGCTCATAGTTACATGTCACCCAGGGAATTCAGTTTGTCTTTTTAAGTTTTTATACTTTATCCATCCAGTAGAATTAATAATATTGGAGCCAGGGAAAATTTCTCCTTCCTCTTTTAGTTCTTCTGGCTATTCAAGTAATTTGAAGACATACAGCAGATTAACAAGAGAAAATTAAATTTTAGTATGTATGCGAGGGGAATTTACATAAGCATGAAAATTCCAAAGACAGTGAGGTAAAATGAGGTATATATGTCATTTTGGATTTAGGAGGAAGAAGTAAGCAAATCACAGGTAGATGAGAAAAAGCAAACATTTTGTAAACAAATTTTTGCAGGGCCACCCAGAAACAATGGGATACAAAGGAGACTCTAGCTAACAGATTTTTGCCTGGATCCTTTCTGTCTGCCATACCTCACATGTGCTAAAGTGAATCTGCTAAAGTTCTCTTCCTAAAGCAGGTTTTTCTGCCTGAATCTCTTTAGGAAACAGGGAGGTAAAACAACTCTTCTTGAGTTAGTTGGGCTTTAATTGTTTTCAGGTCAAAATAATCTGCTTGCCAGTGTGGACCATGCTGGGGAGATTTGTTTCTGACCTCTGCAATAACAATAGTTTCCCTTACTATCTACGATTGTGTGCAGATAAAGTTAATGTGTGTGTACTAGAAAGAGCAAAGATTTTGGGATTTAGTAGATTGAACTAACTTCATATTGGGCAAGTCGTGATAGTTCCCTAAACTTTAGTTTCTTAAATTGTACAACAGGTATATTAAAATGTAATTTAGAAGATTATTGTGAGACATTTAAGATACCATATGTAAAAGACCTGGTACACTGCTTAGCATTTACCCCTCAACATAGTAGCTATTCTCATCATTTCGTTGTCAACAAGCAAGTTAGGAATTTATAAGAAAAAAAAAAAAAACTTCATTCAAGACTCAACTCTGCCAATTACATTTTATGAAACCTCAGACAAGTCCTTTACTTCTTCATTTTTAAACCAACCTGTAAGATGGATACAAGAACACAATCTGAGTCTGCAGGTGTTTGCTATGATTATATGAGGGAATATAGATAAAAGCATCTAGCATAAAACCTGGCACATAGGCTGCTTAATAAATGTTTATTGAATCTGAATTTAAGGTATATAACTTATCCAAATTGAAAATATTAATAAATGTCTTTACTCATCTGCAGGCATGATAACCCCGACTTAGATATGTTTCCAATTTTACATCTTTCAAATTACTTGTTCTTAAAGAAGTTATTCATTTTTCTGTAATCTGTGTTAAAAGTCAGGTTCTTTAAAGAAGTGGCTCTGTATATGGGCCTCATATCTTTATGCAGGTTAATAAAGAGGCCAGGAATGTTCTGCAGGTTTCAGAAATCTGGTGGCTGTTTCTTTAACTCTGCAACTTAGACAGAAGACTTCTGTTTCTTTACGAGCACACTACAGTGAATATTTTGTCTAGCTGCAGGGGAAAAGCTTTGTCCTGGACTTTGCAGACAATAGCCTTAAAAGTAAAATGGTCTGCTTTTGGTTTGCAAAGGTTTGTTAGCTTTTAATGACTGACAGTACTCTGTTGCAAATACCATATTGGCTGTGCCCTGTTTACATGCTTCTCAAGAATTTTTGTAGAGTGCTAGAAAAAAGAAATAGTGATGTTTGTTTGACCTACTCTGATAAGGTTTAAAAAATAATTTCACTCATCAAGTATTTACTGGGAATGTAGAAACATTGGAAATCCTTGCAGAAGTATTTAAAGTTATCTTTAAAGCCTCAATAATCATATCGATTAAAGTATAAGAAGATATTTACTGTTTTATTACTCATAGAATTGCCATCACCATTTTTAAAACAATATGGCATAAAAATAGGGATATTTTAAGAAAAGGTAAAAGTAAATTCTTTAGACTCTTTTTTCCTTAAGTATGAAAAATGGAGATGTAAATTTTCTTACAAAGGGAAAAAATACACTTCACACATTCCCTAGGCAAATGTGCACATAGTAATTGTGGAGTGTGTGTGGGACTGTGTGTGTGTGTGTGTTTGCACCATACACACAATGTAAAGCAGTAATCATTCAGAGGGGTTTTTTTCCACTATTTTACTTTCTACAAGTTTTTAACATGTGAAAACAAAGCATTCCATATAGTTACAGTTATTCCAAGGAAAATTTCACCTTCACTTTGTTGAAAACTCCACACAGGCTTTGTGACCCTAATAGCTGATGGCTGTCAGATCTGAGCCTAAGAAAAGTAGGTAGCATTAGCTAAAGAGGAGGAAGAAGATGCCTTAAAATGGGGGGAAAATTAACCAGTTTCTAATAATCATATGGTCTCTAGGCCAGACGGTCCCTTTGATAAGTTAACATGTACTCCCTTTATGCTCCTAGTAGGGGGTAGACAAATGTCTGAACAAACACAAATACACATAAACATCAATGTGGAGAATGGCAGTGTATGTCTTAGATCTAGATAATAAGTGTGGGTATTGTTATTTAGATGGAGCATACTGGGACACTTATCTTTTAGTACACTCTATTTTCTAACTGAATGCAGTGCTAATCGTAGGATTGAAAGCCATTGTAATTGTGTACCCATCTAAATGCTGACAAGAATATACAATTACATTGTTTGGAACTGAGTTTAATGTTTGGGAGTTTTATTAGCATTTATATTTACTTATACATTAAAATTCAAACACAAAAGGAGAGGTCAAAACTGTGTGATATATAGAAACAAATATCAGACTAAAGCACAACTTTGCTCTCTAAAATATGTGTGCCTTGTCCCAATACAGGGCATTTTAAGAGTGTGATACATATCTGAAATAAGCAAATAATAGGTTTCCATTATAGATATTCCTCATTTCTCTAGATTTTGCAATCTTTGTAAAGCTTCTTTTATACTAACTTTTTTTTTTTTCAAATGTTCACAGTACTGGCAAATCTTGCCACAGTGTGCTTACCACCACACAATGTTAAACACATATTATAAAGTGGATGTAATTGTAAACACACAGAGGGATATAATTACATGTAGCAGATTTAAGAGCTAATTCTTTGCCTTTTTTTAACTCTGCATTTTATCAACATAATTATTTTTTGACTGCAGACTAACACCCTGAAATTGACAAGCATCCATTATAGCAGGAATTTATTCACCAAATTGAAAAACAATGAACCGCAGGTTTATATGTACCCATTGTCATAAAGAATTAGAACGGCTTTGTTCCGCAAGAGGAAAAAGCTAATGATTTTGAAACAGCAGGTGACAAAACACATTCTTTTTTCCTCTCCTGTTATCAGTTTGTTGATGAAGTCATTATGAACTGGGGCTTGGATAGGGATGGCCTTATTTTTAGCAGATAGACTTTTAATGAGCTCCATTGTAAAGGTAGTCATGTTGATTTGCTTATATATTTTTTTTCTTTACTTAGAAACCCCCAGTATTGAAAAGCTACTCTCAAAGGACTGGAAAGACAAGCTTCTTGCAATGGGATCAGGGAACTTTGGTGAAATAAAAGGTAATATGTTTGCAATTATTCTGATCTAAATGTACCAAAACGAAGCTAATGTTTAGGAATATGAATGGTGATGAAGTACATCTGCCCCCATCCCCTTCTGCCTTGTTCATTCTCTGTCTTTGGTGTTTCTTATTTCCAGCTTGAAAGTGGATTTTCTCTCTGTTCTCCTTGGATAAGCAGTGTGTTGTTTTAATAGAATAACCCCACTATAACTTTAATAGGCTTTGGTTTTCATCATTTTTAAAAATGTAAACGATTTATTTTATGAGTAGGAATGTATCTGCAGCAGGATTGGAAACTGCATATTATGAGATGATTTTATATATATTTTTATACATATACATTATATATATTATACATACATTTATACGTGCACATTAGAAGTATGAATGTGTATAATCTACATTTAAAGCCAGAAATGATGAATGGGGATAAAAGGTTGCTTTGTACTAATAAGGTTTTTTTTTTTTTATAAGTCAGAAATTACATACAACTAAGAGAAAGATTATACATGGACTTCAAATAATACTGAATATCCGTATTTTAATCAACTTTTGCTAATATCAAGGAGAGAAGATTTAATGTCTCATATAAAAATATAATCAAACGAGCCTTTAACACTAATTTAAAAGTGTGTTTTCTCATAGTATAGTAGGCAATCTCTGGTTTTTGTTTGTTGCCAATAGGACACTTTCGATTCTGAATTCTAAAGGATTATTTTTTTTTAGGAAAAAACTCACTTAATTCATTAATATTAAAATATTTAGTTATATATTACTCCGTATATTTTATGAAAATGCTGAATCTCTAAAATATCACCAGATTTATATTAATATACATGTAGAAATAGGTGTATAAATAACTTATGTGTGTATGTGCATGTGTTTTTCCCAATGAGAGAAAATTGTCTCTTTAAGGCTCTAATACATTAAAGCATTTAGCAAACAGATAATGCATACATCGGTCTTCTCAAATATTTGGTCTACATGATACTAACATCTCAGGAATTTGAAACTTCCAGAAAATGTTTGACTGAATATTTCACTTTTCATCCATATATTTGTAGTTTACATATATTCAGGCTATAATTAGGTAGGTGCGAAAAGGTGGTAAGAGAATGAATATGTGCTGATTAACAAATTGAGTAACCGAAATCTATAATGGGATCAAATTGAAACAATTAATAATATGCTTTAAAGAGTTTGAAGACAAAGTTTAAAGAGAATAAGAAGTTTCTTTTTCTGAGGCAGCGGATCCTTTGCATTACTTTGTTGGATTTTAATCTATTTGCACCTGAGATAAAGGATTTACTTTCTGAGGTTCTGTATTCTCCTCTGACCTAGGTAATAACTGAGATTAGAGCAGAGAAGACCGCCTATTCCAAACCTTGTGATCTTATTCCATTGGAGGACAAACATTTTTCCCTCCCTTGTTTTCCTCACAAGTCAGACTTAAAAAGCAGCAACAACAGTGATGATAAGCTCAGAGGAAAGAAGCTCAGCTGTCCTTTCAGGCTTGCCTGTGGGGTTAGTTCAGGAAGCTATAGTACAGTCACAAAAGAAGTTTCTGTCTTTAATTTTGAGTTTTTTAAGCTTCACATTTGGAGCACAAGTTTGGTTATTGTCCTCTGGTTCTGTTCAAAAAGCTGTTTTCTGATGCATTTTAAAAGAAACTATAGATCTTTTTTTCTGTTGGAGGCATGGTTATTAGGTGCTCAGATCAGGTTTGGCAGAAGACTGGGAAAATTGTGCTGG